AAAAGGATATTTATTTGTGATACTATTATGTCTACGACTTGATTATAAGCTAGCAGAATACAATGATGTCAGTATATCACCAGGCTGAAAGAGTTATCTCTCTAATGGTGTCATCTGTAAGATCGCTGCGTAAACATTTTCATATCGGTGCTGTTTTACATTCATACAAACGTGCTTTTTTTGGTAGCATTTAATAAAACAAAAGTTGAGTTGTTAATATATCCATATTAATATAAAATGGCCTTAAGCTTTTTTTGTGACAAAGAAAAAAAATCATAAAAATAGAATCTTATTAGATTTCATTATTTTACAAATTGCTACATATCTTATTTTGTAGGACCGAAGTATGGCGAAGTCTGCGATTCTAACCTAATTGACAGCTGCTTGTTTAATTCCGATCTCGAATGTATCCAGACAGGCACTGGAGATCACGTGTGCTTGTGTTCAGATGAAAATGTTACGTTTTGGGATCCGTCTACGTCGCAATGCAAACAACGTAAGTACTTAATTAACTTTTAATGTATATTTTTATGTTTTTTTTCATACGTCAAGACTTAATATGTGAGAAAGTCCTTCCTAACAAGAAGTTTTTATTTTGGTTTTCTATAATACTTCTTTACTATCATATAAAGGTTGAATATTGTTCATAGAAGGATGGATTTTTATAACAGTTTGAATTAGCTAAGTTAATAATGAAGTCATCGTAAGATTCGATCTTTCTTTACCCAACTCCACACAACTTTTTCTAATTGATATCCTTTTGGCGAAATTTCTGTAAATATCTAACATAGTTATCTGAGTCATACATATATATTAATTTACCCCTCTTGTCGAATCATCACAGGCAACATACAAATATGAAAATGATGTATTTAAATAATATTTCGACATACAACCAGTATAATTTAAAAAAAAGTAAGTTTGAAGGACTTAGAAGTTTAATAGAGATACAGTTAAAATTCTGCCTTTTTTAATTTTTCAGAATGAATTGGATAGAAAGCGTAGTTAAACAAGATTTCACCTGTGAAATTATCTTGCGAAATTATGGAGAAATTTTAATAAATCGAGTTCATGAGACAAGATGAATACACAGTAATAATCCACTCTACTGGGCCTCATTTATTCATATTGAGTAATCATAGCACTTGTAAAATGTTTAATCAGTCTATGTATTTCAATCATACAGGACCGCATTATGGATCCGGCTGTCACCCAGATCATCCTGAAAGCTGCCTCTTCAATGATCAACTGCAATGTGTGACATTAGAACATGTGAATAAGTCCACGTGTCAATGTGAAAACGAGACCACCTTTTACTGGGACCACACATCAACTGAATGCAAACCACGTGAGTATCTATATACAGTCCTTATTAACAGTGAATTTCGATTTTTTGGAATACCACATACACAATTTAAAATGTTTGTGACGTCAAAACGCAGTTCCTCAAGTGTTTTCTAACCTCTTTTTAACATTTAATCTATGAAACAAGTTTGTCTATTGGTTGCTTTGCTCTGAATACCTATATTTTACATAAGACCATCCCTTGGTTGTTTCTTACCAGGACTTCAATACGGCTCTGACTGCAGTCCAGATTTATTGAATAGCTGTCAGCACAGGTCGGACCTCAAATGTGTGCTCTTAGGTAACACGAGTCGATACACGTGCCAGTGCGCGGACGAAGATGACACCTTTTGGGACGGTGCCACACTTTACTGTTCTCCCCGTAAGTATAAATATATCAGAAATAAGTCAAGATCAAATTTAGAATACAGTTAGAAATAGCGGACGACTTCAGCGTGTCCCAAATAGAATATATTACAGCGAGTAAGATAAACTGCTTTTGTACATGTACTAGAAATAATTGACCTTACAGTGGTACTCAGGCATTTGTGTTACTTTGGTTCTCACTGTATCCCGAGACCTCGCTATTGCCAAGTATTAACCGGGGCTTTTGTTTTGTCAAGAAATTCTGATCCGTATTTTAAGAAACTCTGACTGCTTTGCATAATTGAACAGGCTATAGATTTTTTCTTCAACGTTTTCCTATTTTGTAAGACCTGTCCCGGCATGAATAAGAATACTTCGGTCTCTATATTTTCATACTGAACGCGTGAGTTGAACGTTATATCTGCTGGCCTAAACTGCAGTCAAAACTGCTTGATATGGACCACTTAGTTATTCTCCATTATTAACTAATAACAACTTAATAAACGGCCAGTATCACCGCTGACTTGTTCAATATTGGTGATACCTTATGTTTAAGAGTTTTGAATCATTATTACATTTTAATGCTCTAATTATTTATATATTTGTATCATTTACAGGACCACACTATGGGGATCGATGTAATTCCGATTACACTGATAGCTGCAGGCATAACTCAGATTTAAGCTGTTTACCTTCTTCTAATTCTGAAAATTTTACATGTCAGTGTAAAGATGAGAATGACACCTTCTGGAATAAGAAGACGACATCATGTGTTTCAAGTATGTACAAATGTTTATATTTACTTTAACGAAATATTTGTTTTATAAATAAATAAAAGTTTAATTATCAAACATTAATTATAGATATACATTGTATCTAGAAAAAACAAATAACGCATTGTTTCGTTTGTCAATGAAAAGAAGTACGCCGTTTAAAAGACATATCAATAACAGCAACGTCGGTACCGCAGAAGTATACTTGCCTTCTCACGAACGCCATCAATTCTTTTTTTCGAATTGAAAATTCTCATTGTAATCTGTATACGATAAATGTAATGTCTAAATTGTAACATGATCAAGATTGTCCAAGGATCTTTGCTTTATCCCTCTTACAGTCTTGACTTTTATCTTACTCAAATAATTTTATTAATCGAAACAGATATTTATGATACATTGTATTTTCATTCCGTATACAATAACATTTCGACATGTTATTCCAATAGTGTATTATATAGTAAAGATATTTTGTATTTGTGTAAATACCAGGACCTAAGTACGGGGATCAATGTAAACCGGACCTACCAAACAGCTGTGTATATAACAATCACCTTCAATGTAAAACGGACGAAACATCCGGCAACTCAACATGTCAGTGTGTAAACGAAACGTCTACGTTCTGGGAATCAAATATTTCGAAATGTTCTGTCAGTAAGTAAAAACATTTCAAGTATATTATCGTGTTGGTTGTGAGTTAGTATGAGGGATATTAGAATATATAATATTATTATAAATCAGCTAGTTTGGATTCTTTTGCAAGCTTCAACCTGTGTGAAAATGTAGAATACAAAATTAACTCCAGCGTTTATATATAAGCAAAGTATTAATATTTTATCTTCTGAATAATAAGACCAGAGTTATTTTTACTCTCCTAGTGACTGTGCAGTATTTTTATAGAGTTTTGACGTTCCTAAGAGTCCCATAAAACATATTTCCATATCTGACTGAGCGTATGCAAAAAACTTTGAATTCTTCATACATTACACTTTATATGTGAAAATAATTTACTCTTTTAAATGTCACAAACTCACGTTTTAATTGTTGCTATGTATTTTGTAGGACCAGAGAACAGACAACGTTGTGACCCTCAATTTCCGGACAGCTGTCATTTTAATTCGGAACTAAAGTGTTTATATTCGAATGAAAGTGGGCAGCATATCTGTCAATGTTTCAACGAAGTTTCAACGTACTGGATGGACGATAACAGCAGATGCGAAACTAGTAAGACTCGATATTTGTCACCGTGCTTTGCTAATATTGAATTGCTATCGCATTAATAATATTCTGCTATATATTTTCTAAAACTAACGCAAACAACAGTATATGTCAATGTATGTAGAAAGCTGGTTTGTTTCTCCCTAAACTATAATTTTATTTTTTCAATTCAGGACCTGAATATGGAGAAGAATGTCTCTCTGATTATAACAATAGCTGCCACCATAATAGTTTCCTGACGTGTGTAGTATCTGAAACGACAGGGAAAGCATCATGCCAATGTTTTAACGAAACAGCAACATTTTGGGAATCAGCAAAGTCCGAATGTAAACCCAGTAAGTAGATATATGCCATTATCCTTTTAATTTAATCGTGATACATTAATTAGTATGAGAAAAACTGAAAATAACAAATAATTATACGATAATTATTATTTTTACTAAGGAACAAAATATCCTTGTGTTAGCGATTTGCGTATATGATATTATGAAGCTATGGACATAGGAAAATATGAAATCTGATTTTAAAACGAAATACTTTCTCATTTTCAAAAACACATTAAAACATTAATTAGTTAATAAGGACATTAAGAAATGAATATGGAAAGTAACAATAATACCAATTTGGTAATGAGACTTTAGATAAATCATAATAATATTTAAATGTACTCGAAGCGTGGTATTATACAAACTGTCCATTAATCTATTTCCAGGACCGGAATACGGATCACCATGTCAAGCAGAGTTCCCAGACAGCTGTAATCCGCAGGCAGCACTGGAATGTTCACTGTCCAATGAGCGAGACACTCATGTGTGCCAGTGCAAAAATGAGAATATGACATTCTGGAAATCTTCGAAGATGGAATGCGATATTCGTACGTTGTTTTTAATTTCATATCAGAATGCTTATTGCTTACATTTATGTCTTGTTCAGAATCCACACTTTGCTTTAACGAAAAAATGAAATCTTTGAAAGATAATCTACCTGTAACATAATATATTTATGTAACTAGCACTGAACTAAAAATACAACCAAAACGACTAATATCTTTATATTTATGGTACGAATCGCTGATTACCTTTATTATATTCAAACAGGACCTTCGTATGGAAACGATTGTTTACCAGAATATCCAAATAGCTGTGAACACAAATCGGAGTTGCAGTGTCTTTATTTAAACAGTTCTCAAACATATGTGTGCCAATGTGCAGAAGAAGAAACAACGTTTTGGGATCCAACATCTACAATATGTAAATCACGTGAGTGCTTGGTCTTGACATGCTTTATTTCTTTGAGCAGTTCCTTGATATAATTAATGTTTGTGTTTTCTTAGATTTAATTTAACTCCTTATTTAAGCGTTTTTATAGGAATGAAACACAATCAGGAACTCGATTATGATGCATAGGTAAACGTTTCTTCAGAGTGTGGCAGG